TCCATCAGTTTGGTCAGGATTCCCTAACACCACATCTCCGACATGTTTTACATATGGCTTCGTAGCTGATTTGTGTTGAGATCTAAATCAAATTAAATCTTTTGATATAATCCCATATTTAAATGGCATAGTGGGTTAACATATCAAACATTTTCTTAAAAAGAATTGCCACTAATTACTGAATGGTCTTTGTTTTATTTGTTATGTAAAATAAAAACAAATTAGTAGAATAAATGTGTTTCCACCTGTTGAACATTAATACCAAAGTGAATGAGAAAGTAACTGTAGGCGCTAGGACCCTGCAAACGCATCTATTTTCTGGTGGGATGAATGTGTATCAACCACGCTCATACCAAGGTGCCTTCAAGTCCTGTAGGAATTTTAATACTTACACTTCTAAAGGTTTCCTGTCAAATATAATTATTTTTAAAATTTTATTTATTTTCGGTTATGATGATTCTTTAATCTGTGCTTTGAGTTTGGAAATGTAAGAACTCACTTTCTCACAGATACCTCAAACAATAAATGCAATGTGATATATGCATTCGAAGCTTGAATAATCCATCTTTTTTTATGGTGTATGAAGCAGGGGGTAGTTTTACGGGGTTCATTGAATTAGGGTCCTTTATGGTCCTTATGTAATGCAGTGGATTGAAGAATGCATAGTAATCATGAAACCTGGTTCTATTGTCAGATGTCAGCATCTGCTACATTTCCTGATAAAGATGGTGGATTTTATGCAGAAGAGCTTCAAACATCAAGGGACAACAGAAAAGCTGAGGAACAGCAGAACTGGTAGATTAAAGAAAAAACAACAACAACCAAACATATGTTTCAAAAGCTTTTCTGTTCACATTATGAGCAGCAAATTGGCTTCCTATTACGGTGCCTCACACAAGTGGAACAATCTGGAGAAGCTTGTAAAATTAGATATGCTAATCCCTTTTAATCAATTGAAATCCCATGTGGGGCACTGAGCAGTGTGAACGCATGTGTTTTCTTTAAACGTCCCTTATGTTGATGTGTTCTTTTGATTTTGCTTTTTATGTTTTTGCTTTCATTGATTGATTTGCATTGTTATCATGGCATTCCTTTAAAGGTGGGCGTGGTCTTGGTGGCCTCTCTTGTTTAATTAAAGGTCACATGACCCCCAAAAACATGTTTTATGATTCACTAATCAAACATCTGCAGGCTCTGTATCATCTCCTTCCTGTGTTTCTGTAAAGTAGGTTGATATTTATTCGCAGCAAGTTCAGCTTCACTTGTATTGACAGCACACTGGGATGTTTTACAAATATTAAACCTCCGCAGGTGTTTTTTTAATGCAGTAAAGTTAAAACTTTTAACATGGAAGTCTTTGGGAATTTACTTGCTTTTGGATTCATTTTCAAATGGAATTAAAGAAGCTGCAGTTTTTTCCATTTACAAGCCCCCAAAACCTGGAATAAATACAAGTCAAGTCAAGTGGTTTTATTGTCATTCCAACCATGTGCAGTGGTACAGTACACAGTGAAACGAGACAGCGTTCCTCCAAGACCATTGTGCTACATATGACATATAAGACACAATCAACGCAGAACTACATAAAGTGCAATGTACAATTACACTACAGTACAATAGAAATGTGCAAAAGACGGAGTATTGTGCAAAAAGTCACTTGGTGTATGAAGGTGTGTGTGTGTGTGTGTGTGTGTGTGTGTGTGTGTGTGTGTGTGTGTGTGTGTGAGAGATTCTGCACATAAGTGCTTGGTAGTGACATGTATGAAGGTATGCGTGTGTGTGTGTGAAGGCACTGAATGTACGGTAAATGGACTGGTTTTTATGTAGTGCTTTTCTACTTTTATTGGAGCGCTCTTTGCCTTGTTCACCTATTTACACCCATTCATACAAGCATTTTTTGTACACTTTAAGTATCTTTTTATATCAGCATTATCAAAGTGGACTTTCATAGCACAGTTCCAGAATTATTTCCCTAATATTTATTGTGTATTTATGTCTTTAAATTGGCATAAATGGCATTCCATATAATGAAACCAATATGTTGTATTTTTATTATTGAGTGCGCTACCAATAACGTGCTTGTTATAGAACATATCACATAATAATATCAACACAAAAACTTATTGATATTTAGTCACAGTATGGGCACATCGATGCACGTCTTAGCCAAAAAGATGAAAAATCCGAGGTCACAGAGAGTCCCTGAAAGCAGCTCGATCGTCTATTCTCCACCCTAAAGGAAGCCGTGCGACATCCATCAGACTCGCAGGACTCTCAGAGGTACTCTCGAGCTGTCCCCAGCCTGTAGCTCCAACAAACAGCCCGCTGGGACATCACGCTGCGCTCCGGGCAGGCTGCTGATCTCTGCCCGGATTTACCCCTCGAACAGGACTGTGGGAGCGATGCGACGTCTCGGAGGAGGAGGAGGAGACGAACTGGCCAGGCAGAAGCAGACACCTGAGAGGAGGATCTGAGTTTGTTTCTGTAACGTCAAAGAAAGGTGAGTGGCAAAAAGAAAAGAGCGGAATGTTTCCTGCGGGCTCGGCTGGTGCCTGGCGCAGACGCGTGTTTGCTTGTTGGTGTTCGGTGCGTGTTACTTGTCGTGTCCAGCATCGGTAGCAGGCAGGCGGTATGAGTCATAGCCCCGGCGCAGGGCTGCTGGAGGATCTGCTGAGGAGCAAAGTGTCTGCAGCCTCCAGACCAACAGTCTGTTATCAGCCCGCTGCACCTCTACGCCATTTACGCAAACGACTCTCGTGCATTTTCCTCTTTGGAGTCCGCGTGCACTGTGATCGTAGTTGGAGTCTGCGTGGGTGTTCACGCACGTGCAAATAAGTGACGTGTTAGCTGCTTCACCTGACAGGCAGGTGTGTGAGAGTGAAATTCAGAAATGCTGCGTTAAACCTCAGGTTTGAAGCTGTGCTTCCGGTAAATGCGAAAGATAAAGCGATGTCTTGCACAACGGTGCGGCTCCAACTTTACAGCAACAGTTTGCTTTGAACCTTTTCATGTGTGGGGTTTGTTTTCTTTTTCCCACAAAGCAGTGGCCTGCTGAAGCCACCAGAAAGCGAACCACAGTTTGGTGTAGCCAGCATAGAAGACTCTGTTTCCGAAAGTTTATTTTAATGAATTATTCTTGGCTCTGTATGATGTCACTTTTGGCTGTAAGCACAGAAACCTCACCCACCTGCTGTTCAAACCTTCTGTTTGCCAGGGGCACTCAGTCAGAGGTAAGGGTGGCCTTAAATTAATATGAGCTAAAATCAGAAAGTATAAGATAACCTGGCATTATTTACCTGTTAGAATCAACATGGAACAGCCATTATTAACTGGAAGGTTATGTGTTTGCATCTCCTCTGTCTCCCTGAAATATTATTTAGAAATGTGTTTCTTTAAATCTAATTGTACCCTTGTAGCTGAAGAACAACAGTCTCAGCAGGAATCGGTATCAGAAATTTTTATGGGAATTATATCAGCGTGTGATCGACTGGCGACCTCAACTAAAGTGTACTCCTACCTTTGGCCTGCTGCACTGTAATCATGCATGTAGTAAGAAAGTGCCTCAAAGGGATCAAGAGTAGCAAGGTGATGTATAAGTACCAGTCCATTTACCTTTTATCTTCTGTGTAAAATTTCTCTTTTTCCATAATGGAATTTAAACATAAAGGTTAGCCTTTTATTATTAAATCCTAACAGGTAAGCTAACTAAGATTGAGATCTCTTTTTCAAGAGAGGACTGCATACAAACATACACATGCAACATTCAAAAACTGACACAAAGAGCTGCACAGTTAAGGGACAAATGCATTATACACACAAATGAAGACCAACTCGTACAAGAACAGTTGCAGATAGACAAACGTAAAACCCTACAGAGAATGCAGCTTAATAGTTCTTTGGAGCTTGTTCCATTTATAGGCAGCAATGAATCTGAATCCAGTTTTCCCAAGCTCAGTGTGAACACGAGCTACAGATGATGTTTAAATGTCCGGAAACCTGACATTGTAGGTACTTTATTTAAATTCAGTCAAGGAGTTGAGGTAATAATAATAATAATAATAATAATGGATTGGATTTATATAGCGCTTTTCAAGGCACCCAAAGCGCTTTACAATTCAATTATTCATTCACTCTCACATTCACGCACTGGTGGAGGCAGCTACAGTTGTAGCCACAGCTGCCCTGGGGCAGACTGACAGAAGCGAGGCTGCCATATCGCGCCATCGGCCCCTCTGGTAAGCAGACAAGCACCCTCTCTTCAGTTTGCTAGGGAGCATCATCCCACTTCTTCATAAAAGATACAATGGTGAGTATGAAAAGAACCACCTGTGATGAATTGCAATGCATTGTGAAACAGACTCGAGGTTTCAATGTCGATATGGAAGCATGCATAGAAACAATATCATCATAATCAAGCGCAGACAAACTGCGTTAAACGTCCCGGTGAGGTAATTAATATTCAGTTTTACTATAATTTAGAAGCCACTTTCAGTGGGTACTCTATTCACAAGGGGTCCCCACAGTGGGTGGCTCCGCATTTTTGATTATGCAGACTTTTATACCCTCCGCCTTCCTGATGCAACCCCAAAAGATTCATTTCTCTTCCCAGGGCTCAAATGGAGATCTTCTTATTAAACAAAAATATGAAAATGACTCTCCTACTCATTGTCAATGTGCATAATTTAAATAAGGTAAAGGGAATAGAAGTCTTGCTGGCCTATGCAAACAATTACAATTTTTTCATTTGCTTTAAATCCAGGTAAATTCACCTAATTTGAAAATGATATTTCATGTCCACACACAGATGAGGAGGTATGACAGTAATGAGTATTTTCTTCTTGGAGTCTTTGTTGACTCATAAATCAGTTTGTAAACAAAGATGGAAGGAGCAGAGGTAATTAGCGGAAGCAGCCTTTATTGGATGGGTAATGCGGTCGGCATCCCCCGAGCTGCTGGCAGCTTTATTGTTTCTGCAGAGTGAATCCAAGCTGATTTCTTGCTGATAGGCTCATAATGGAAATTACAAATAACATCTGACTTGCCGGCCTGTTATCAGTGCTGGTGTTAGTGTGCACACTAAAGGCCTCGGCTTCCTTAGAGTTGCTATTCATTTGGTCAAATTTCATAAAAAGACAAATTAATAAAGACGAATGAGGCGAAGGGAAAAGTTGCTCTTTGCTTGTGCTGTGATGTGAACTACTGATACAGAAAAACTGGTCAGTGAATTTTTAATCTTCAACAAAGCCAAGCAATGCCTGTGTATGTCTGTTAGCTAAAAATCCTTCTTAGATTTCAGTAATTCAGCTGAGGGGTAAAATGTGCAATGTAAATTACGTGTAGAATTTCACTGAATATTAATCCCTAAATGTGACCCCAGATCAGCTGTGAGTCACAGAAATGCCACAGTGTGACATGTGGGTGCATGAAATATACTTCTACAAAGGGAGGCTCTGAGATGGGACATGGTTAAATTCCATTTACTGGATATGAGTAAAACGGGGCTCTTTTACAGTTCATGGGAAGATGACATGACAGCCCGTGCGTTACACTTCACGTTTGTGCAGCAATTCGTCTGTGACAGAAGCTGAGTTAAATATAAAGATTGATCATCTGAGTTGTAAAAGCAAACTTGCATGCGTTTAGAGGCATCTTGTTATTTCATGCTCCATTATCGAGTTGTGGCGTAACCTCTTGATCACAAGCAGCATCTATGACGATCATCCAGTTATAAAGATTTAAATGAACAATTCAGACTTTAGACATGAGGTCACAATAAAGGTAAGAGAGAGAATCTCATCACATTTCATTGTCTTAAAGAAGCTCACATGACATGAAATTTTGTCACCATGAGACTCAGTGCTAGGGTTGAACACTTTTCGGTGAAGCTATCTGCTGCTAGCAGCAGGCTTGGTTATTTTTTTTTTTCCTATTGTATTTAATGGCCTGACCTTTTCAGAATTCAGCCTGCTAAATAAATAGCAGGTAACATTTAATAGAAAATGTGAGCGTTTCTGAAAAGTTCTTGTTTGAGAACAATTTTAGAAAACTGTGTGGTTGTACTTCCTCCCCATTTAAAAGCCTGTGCTGTTGCCACTTGATTATTTCGAGGTTGTAAGGCATCCTTCTGAGTGCTTTGGTTAGGTCTGTGTATAATAATCCTAAACTGGTGACATTAGATGTTTTTGTACCATAAAGTTTTTTCCGTGGTTGTCGTCTTTGAAAAATGGTCGTAATCTCTGGATATTGGGATCGCAGCAGCTGACTGGAAAACTTAAACATATCAACCAGCCCGAGTCCATTTGACACTCTCTGTGGACACACGCATAGTGTTATTTTTCTAAGTATAGTAATGCATCTGAAGCATAGAGGTCTGTAGATTTGTGTGCAGAAACCTTTAAATTCATCTTGTCAGTGACCTGGTTGCTCACCTGTTAATCACAGTTTCTGGGTCAGTAACATGAGGAGTGTCCAGTGGGAATTTTTAAGGTGTCAATAAATCCTAATTTGGACAAATGGTTTCTCTTACCTGGGCAAACTCACAAAGCATCCCAACTGAATCTGAAGCAGAAATGCTTTTAAAGTGGGTTAAGTCATAAATAATCAGGTTTTTCATGTTTGTGTTTTGTACTCTCCTTCATTAACTTCTCTTTATTTTAAAGTCTCATCTGAAATGTGCATTGCAAACTAGGCTGGGCTATAAATGCTGTTTTATGGTTCATGCAACATCAAACTATTCTCGTTCCCAGGCGCTCAAAATCTTCAGTTTTACCAAAGATGCGGTATCGCAGAGATCTGCAGGTTCCATGATCTGGATCTCTCACTCCTAACTCTACTTTAAGATTTAAGATTTGAAGAGGCAGCACAGTGCCAACCAGCAGTCAAGAGAGTCAATGAGGTCAAAGCAGTTTCCCTGTAGGCTTTAATAGCACCAGAAATCGCTTTCCAACCACAGGCATTGCCACCTGGTGTCAGTTAAAAGCAGTGCTGGTTTAAGGCACTTAAATATTGGATCTTTCTTTCTATCTGTAGTGTTCTTTGTGCTTGGATGGGTTTTCTGTGGAAGCTTACAGTTTGTCCTGCTTTTGAAAAAACTTGAGGGCTAACAGTTTTCTCTGGTCCTCCATAATTTCTGTGTTGCTGGTCTGAGGTAACAATCATATGGAATCACAGTTGGATTAGACCGATTTCAAGATATACAGGCTTATGGAAGTTTCATGCCATTTCCCGAGTTGTATTGGCAGCTTCCGTTCTAAAGTCTGAAAATGCAGTTGGTACCTTTGAGGTTTATCCGGGAAGAATAGGGGCGCTCACGTTAGGTGTTTTGCTGTGATGATTCACAGTGACCTTTTGCCTCCAAGACAGTCTCCCTAACCACTCTGCCCTTTCCTTCTGGCTCTCTGTCACTCCCTCCCTCTCCTCCTCTTCTTCCTCCTGCCACCCACCTGCAGTGTATCGACCAGAAACAGCAGGATTCAGCCTTCCTAAGATGATTAATGCATA